ACTCCGAACGCCATATTTTTTTTCCCTAATTGTGTGGCCCCCCTCCCTCTGGTGGTAGTTTGTAAAAGAACCCATGTTGTGTGTGTGTGTGTATATATATATATATATTCTCCTCCGACTGATCCATACAGTAAGTGTTTCATTCGCGGTTACAATTTCTCTCTTTCATCTCCTTTCACACACGCACTGTAAGTTTTCACCCATCATTTCTCACTTCATTTCTGCAAGATTTGCTTACTAAATTCGAATGCAGAGAAAAAAACAAACAACAGAGATAGGACAACGACAAGCCGGGTCTCTCTTGAGAAGTAAGTCAGGCAGTTATGTTTTGTTTTTCGGAATTAAGAGTATATATTTGTATTCGATTTGTTTTTGCAATCGTCTGACATCAAATTTCCACAATCTTTTTGGTGTTGTTATTGTTAACGATTGGATGTATTACATAGTTTCCGATTTTTATATATTTACATGTTCTTTTTTTTTTCCAACATATGTTATCTTTTCTTCGTTTTGACTAAATTTTGGTAATTTGATTTCCCAAAAGAATATTAATACACCGGTGCTAAGTCTACAGAAGTGTAATTTCGTTGAAAGTAATTAAAGATAATTGTAAACAACTTTTTGGATTCTATGTATTTCTTAATAATATTATGGTATTTGATATTTGTCACAGATTTGAAGAATGCACTCGACAATGTATTTTTTGGTAGAGATAATCTATTTAAAGCAGAAATCAGCGTGTTGGCAGGTTATCACTGTCAAAAGGATAACAGATAATGAGGATCTTATAAAACGATTTAAGAATAGATATGAATGTTTGCTTTTTTTCATCCGTTTTCTATTAGAAATTCATTCAACGCCTTTTAACCCCATTTGTTTGTTGTAGACACATGATGAAGAATATGAGACAAGAATGGCGGGGAATGTTTCATCTAAATTAACAACTACGATAAATGAGATGATCGAAAATACAGAGGCTTCCTGATGTGCACAAGTTTCTATATGACTCCGCAGTTTTGGTGATTAAAATTTTGGAAAAGCAAGTGATGTCAATGACTGGGATAACGTGACAAAAGAAACTTTCAGACAAAAATGAGTGAGCATTTAAGGTTTTTTTTTTCACTAAATCTGCTGAATATTTAAGGACTATATTATATTCAATTTTCAACCTTGCTTTGGTAGGTTCTGTCATTTGTTGCTACTTTGGATAAATTATAGAAGCAAAGGTTAAGAGTATGCAATTGTTCCGTGTCGTGTAGAATCTGATGTTCAGGATTTTGCAGTCGGGGCTGGAGGATTTGAATTGCCAATTAGAGAATCGAAGAGGAGAACTATCAAATGGCAATGGCAAGATGAAATTGGAATTCGTCTAATTTCTCTTCGGACAATTGTCTGGATCCAAACTCTAACCTTAACTTGGGTATGTATTTAATCCCAATATTGCTTATGTGATTCCTTCAATAACTTGTGTGATTTAATCAAGCCACGAAAATAAATATAGATTGATTGTACGTGGAATTTGGAAATAGTTTTTTAATTGCAAATTATGTTATATTTTATTATTTATATTTTTTTTCTAAAGAATTTCTATCATTATCATGATCCTAACTTCTAAGGTTAAATACCATAACTTTATGTACAAGTAAAATCTGAATTTTGTGGATATTGAATAAGAAAATATCTCTATTTTATTTTACATAGACTAGAGAAATATCTTGGAGACATAGTTACATGGAAAAAGGCGTAACCTGTTCTTGAAGAGGCACTCATGAGTTCGTGAAGCTCTAGAAGGTTTTCGGGTTAATATTGCTTGGTTCAATTGTTTGGTGGTTTTAGTTGACTGTTAAAGCGCATAATGCTCCTATAAAGAGTTGCCTTATGGAAATACCATTTTGGTACTTTTGCTTCTGTTTTTTCTGAGAACATTTGATAGGTAAATTTGTGAGCAGTAAAAATTATTTTTTTTTTTTTTACCAGTACCAATCTATTGATCGTTTTTATATCCCCTACTTGGTGATTTACGTACGTTTTCATACAGGCATATCATTCAGTATTTTGTAACTCTTCTCAGACCTATTACACGGTTTCGTTCACTTCGTCACAACTTTTGTATATATCAATCTTGATTCTTGAGGATTGAGAAACAACGAAGCAAGAGATGGCAAGTGACTATATATTGTACTTCGACAAGCTATAGAGCTTTAGGTTTGATTTGTCAATCGTGAAAACCATTGTTGATTGTATTAATCAAGTTCTGGATATTATTCTTATCCGTCATTTTACGATTTTCTTATGGTGTGATGTATTCTTAATTATTTAATTTCATTATATTTAACATATTAAGTGTTAAATATCTTTTGTTTTATAATGGTACCCGTGCAACGCACGGGTTATAGTTACTAGTTGTACTGAATGTAACACAACAATCATACCAACAATTTGCGGTATCGAATGCAATGATAACGCCTCTTTTGTTTTTTTTTTTTTTTGGATAATATTCAGTTTGTATACCATAATACTTAGTATTTGATAATTTTTTCCATTCATTCACGGAAAAATCAATGCTAGATTGTAATATTCGAAGCTATGGCTTGTTTGCCAATATTGAAAATGAACTTGTGATGAACATGTGGAAGAATATGACATTATTTAAAGTTATGGCTTGTTTGGCTCGATCCCGCCACTGACAAATATACGCATTCTTATAAGGATATATGAAATGCTACACCTGGTGTAGCACATCGAGCGTATATCTATATAAAGAATTAGACACAACTTAAAAATGATGCAATTTTATTCATTTCTTTCACAACAAAAAGGAAATGAGAAATTCTTTAATATGCTGCTTTAGGGTTTAAGAAAAAGGACTAGAGTAAGTACTTTAAATAACTCATTAATTTTCAAATACAATTTAGATTTTGAATTAAAAAAAAAATATAGTTTCAAAAAATAAATAAATAAGAATTATATAAAAGTTAAAACCAGCAAAGCAATGAATAAACTCAACTCCTAGGATATATAGAGACAGCTGATTCTTCCTCCAAACAAGTGAATATCATTATTTGAGAACACATTTATCACTACTTCCTACCTATGCCTGCCTGCCCTCATCTGTAAACAAACAATTCTTCTAACAAAAGAATTTACCTAATAAAAAAAATAAAAAATAAGAAAAAAAAATTACAAGACAAAAAAAAGGATCAGCATTCTCTACTGTCATATATCTCCGGTCCCGTGCGATATATCTTTCGTCGAAATACCAGGACTTCCAAAAACGCCCTTCTACTCATTTACATGTTTACACAACCACTCAAGGAGAAAACTCTTTCATTTCTTATTATTTTTTTTATTTACTCAACTTGCTCGCCAATCAAATCGAGCCCCACGAGCAAAAACGAGACCCCTTGAAAGAGCAAGAAGTAAAAATGTATCCCTTGAGCCGACAAAAGACTCCTCGCGGAAGCAGTCAAGAGAAGGCAAGCAAGCGCCAACTCCTTCGTGTATATCCGATTATGCTTCCTTTTCCGAAAAGCCCGTCTCTCCTTCTCTTTGATTTCCTCCAAATTGGGCTCCGAACTTCCCCTTTGCTTTGTCGGCTCTTTCTCGACCAAATTTATGAGATCGCCCTCGGAGGACCGCCCCGATTTTTTAGTGACGACCCATTCGTAGGCACTTCCCAATTGGAATAGCCCGGAAACCATAGCGTTGAATTTAGTGACGGACATTGTGTTTTCGAAGAGGAGATAAGGGACGATGAATGGGAATGACTTTGGCGCGGGGAGAATATTGAGAAACGACATTGTTGCCGGTATGTAACATACGACCCATGCTGGTAGTGTAGCTTCGGGAATGAACATTGTCATTGGGAGAATTATGCAGAAGAGTGTGAACGAGTAAAACGGGAGTATGAGCTTTCTTAGCAAGAAAAAGAGAAATATCATGTTTCCTTTCTTCCAAATGCTTATCTGCGTAGGAACCGAATTCGTAATAGGTTATATAAAATTATTATTTAAATATGTGCAAAATCTTAGTACAATAAAATAAAAAGTTTCAAGTATTTAAAAATGTAGCATATACAGTTAAAGCTCTATAAATTAATACGGGACTAGCAGAATTCTATTAATTTAGCGAAATATTAAATTATCGAACTAATAATTTAGTAGGTTTTTACTGAGTCGGGATCAGAAAAAACTATTATTTAAGCGAGGTTATTAATTTATCAAGGTTCTATTGTATCATTATTTGTATGTTCATTGTTGTTAACATTACCATTTATGTAAGAAAAAATCTGCCGTTTGGGATTTATGCCCTTAGGCCTCGTTTATAACATAAGATATGATTAACAAAACATCAAATGAGGTCGATTGTATTTAATTAACCGTGTCTAATCTAACAAGCCAAACGAGGTGTTAGTTATAGTTAAAGAAAAAGGGAAAAGGGATAATACCTTTGATCGAATAATAGCTGGCAAACAGAGTCGGAATAATTGCATTGGACCCGAGTGCCACCTGTGTTGTTGCTTCCTATAAGCTTCATAAGATTCCGGCAATTCACATTGACACTGAAAAATTCAAATTAATAACATATATAATATAAACGAAATAATTATCGCATAATCAAGAGCATATATATATATATTTTGGAGTGAAATAAATACCTCGACGTCATTAAGAAAGATGAATTTCCAGCCGTGAAGGTGGGCCCGCACAGCGATATCCATATCCTCGACAGTAGTCCTCTCTAACCAACCGCCCGATTCTTCCAAAGCCTTAATCCTCCAAACGCCAGCTGTCCCATTGAAACCGAAGAAGTTGAGGAATATTCCATTAACCTGCTGCTCCACTTCGAAATGAAAAGCCAAGTTAATTAACTGCAACCTCGTTAGCAAGTTTTCATCCTTGTTCACAAAAGACCATCTCGCTTGAACCAACCCTAGTTCCTCGTTATCCTTCAAAATCCAAAAAAACGCAATAAATACTAAAATCCAAGAAAACAGACAATAAACGGAAAAAGTGAAATTCAATCAATATTGAACCTTAAAGTGAGGAACGGTTCTCATGAGAAAATCGGAGTTGGGCTGAAAATCGGCGTCGAAAATAGTGACGAATTCGTAATCTTTAACATATCCACAATTCATTGCGGATTTAAGATTCCCTGCTTTGTACCCATCCCTAATAACTCTATGCCTGTATATAATGTTGGCGCCGTTATTTTGCCATTTACGAACTTCGTCTTTAATCAAAGACTGAGTTAACGGATCGTCCGAATCGTCCAATACTTGAATCAGAAGTTTCCCACTAGGCCAATCCAAATTACACACCGCCGCAATAGATTGTTGATAAACCTATCACACACAATTTAGAAAACTAAATTAAATTTTTTATTTGAAATAAAAAGAGGGAAATTCCAGTGTTACTTACCTCTTTCTCATTGCACATGGGGATCTGAACTAAGACCATCGGAAAATAGGGGCCGGATTCAAGATCGATAAGGGCGTGTTTGGGTACGGGTTTGATTTTCCTGAGCTTGACCCACAAGCAACCCAAACAGAGAATTAAGCGATCCAAGCTCTGTATAATGAAGAGAACAATGCATACATTGGCCAAGAACTGAAGCGGCGGGGCGAGATATTCGACCCGGATCAAGACCCATTTCGAGTAGAGCGAGCCAAACACGTCCTTAACCGCAAACGGATTCGTTAGAGTGTAGAGACGTTTGAGCTGGAGATCCGCCGCTCCGAAATGCCATCCTTTGAAATACGCGGCGATTTCGAAACCGAGCATCAGGAGGGAAAGCCAGAGGAAGGCCTTGATGCAGGCGTAGAATCTCGACCTGCCGCCCGGGTTTTCAGTGTCGGTGCGGCCGGAGGCGAGGCGGCGGCGGACGGCGGAGGCGAGGGAGAGGAATGCGGAGGCAATGGATGCCAGGCAGCCGGCGGCCTTGTGGGCTTTCAAGAGGAGAACCCATGTGAGCTGCTTGGCGTTCTTGTTGCGGCCGCCTTTGGGGATGGCGGCGGCGCCGCCGTGGTAGAGGAAGTCGTCGTCGGAGGGAGATTCGAGCTCCACCATGGACCAGTTGTTAGGGTTGTCCATTTTAACAACCACGGGTGTGCCACCCCTGTGTTTTTCCTTCGCCCACCAGTGCATTGTTGCAGAAACCCCAGATGGGAGGAAAAATCACTCACAAAAAATGGTGTCTGAAAATTTGGTAATTGAGAAGTGTGTGTGTGAAGAAGACAACATAACATGGGTGGGAACAAATGTAAGAAAATGAGTGTTGAATTTGACAGAGAATGCTACAAAAACTTCATTTTAGATGACAGAGAAAAGTAGAGAGAGAAAGAAGAGAGAGAGAGAGGGGGGTGAAGAGCGACGCGTGGGAGGTGTGAAGAACCTATGCGTCTTCAATACATGAAGACATTCGTATACAAATTTCTGCACCAGACCAACAAATTAAAAATAATAATAATTTAATATTATATAAATATGTATATATATACACTAGTCACTATATATAATATTCAAAGAGGATAAATTAGATTTAAGAACAAATGGGGAGTTCAAAAGGTTGTCTACACTAGTACATTCATTTTACAGCTATTATATATATACTACTAATTGAAAAGGATTTCTAGAGAGAGAAAGTGAGTGTGTTTGTGTTGTGTGTGTGAGAGAGAGAGAGAGAGGAAGAGATTGAATGAAACAGGAAAAAACATAAAACAAAAACTAAAAAAAACCGACAGCACGTTCTAATGTTAAGAAACACAATCTTTATCTCATCTCCTAAAACCACCAAACCCCAAAGGTTGTGTGCATGGGAGAGAACAACAAACAAAAATTACACAAATGCCAATGGAAAAAAAATGGAAAAAAGGGAAAAGGAAAAATAGATCTAACAAGAAAGAATTTCGAAAATTAGCGACAACAAGTTGTGGGCTTTCTTTCTTTCTTTCTTTTTTTTTTTTTAATATATATTTATATGTTTATATATATACATTGTCAAGAATCAAGAATTCTTCTCAAAAAAAGGGGGAAAATATTGAATGGAAATTCAAGAGGAAAAGAATAATTAATAAGGGGAGATGGAAAGTCCGATTCTTGTTTCCTCCAAGAATCAGATTTTACAGTGTGGGGATAGGATTGAATCAAAGCGTTGTTGATTTTCTGCAAATTAATGCAGAGATTTAATTAATTCTAAAATAAATAAATAAATATAGATAGATATGGGATATACATACATATTTCCGTTTTAGAAAACAAATTTTCCTTATTTTGGGTTGTGATTTGTGAAGATCATGGGAAAAGAAATAGTTCAAAGACTATTTCTTTTCCTTCATAAAAAATATTGTTTAATGGTTTTTATATTTTTATTGTATTTTATTTTTTATTATTATTTAAGTAAAAAAATGCAGAGAGAGAAAAATGAATTTTGTAATGAACTAGTCTTCCTAACACAGTATGTGTATTTTGACTAGAATTTAGCTTAATTCACGCTTAGCCAAACACAATATGCAAACCAAAACATGCCACTTTAGCATAATGCATTGTTTATCCTTTTTTTCTTGTTTTAATTTAATGAAAGGTAAATACTTATTTAACCCAAAAAAAAAAACGTGTCCTCTATTTACTATTGGGATGTGACTGAAATTTAGCAAAACTCAAAATACAAAAATTATAGCTCTAATCCAACTTCAATTGTCAAGATTGAATGTTTGGTAAGAAAAATATGCATGAATCAATAAATACTGCCCACAATTTTGATGTCACGAGTTATCTAAAATTCAAAATGTAATTCATTTGATGCATAACTTTGTCGCCCCATATCCGATCTAGTTGATTCAAGTTAGTTAGAAAGCTATCTCAACAGACAACAATTTCCGTGTTTTGAATTTTGTCAAAATCATGCTCAAACATGATCAAAATCACGTTAGAAGTCAAAACGATATTAGTAAAAAATGATCAATTTTCTACATCCAAAATTGGTAATTCATACACGGGAATATTCATCGAGTATAGCATATACTACATACTGCAGTTTCGATGACATAAAAATTTTATTTTATTTTTGTGTTTATTTTTATATGATGTATAATCTGTAGACATCATATGTAAAGGATATTCGTTCAAACTTCAATTCGAATTTGTTACTTGAAATTTTCGATGTTAAAAGGCACGTAACGAATTTTCAGGTTCGTCCTTAGTTAATATGTCCATAGTCTGATACACTATAAATCTATTCAAATTACATCATGCTACAAAATCAAATACGCCCAAGTGTTATAATCCTCACACATCACATAGAATTTTAGCACTCACAATCAATCCACAAGATATACTTATTTCACTTGATTGCTTCATTTTTTTCAGACCACATATCGGTAAGTGACGTAACGGCCAGCAGTCTCACTTGGTCGGATAATTTTAACAACGTGCCCACGCTTCAGTCCGTAATATCTTGCAATCGGGTCCGTTATTTGAATACGAGGTAGCTGCCAACAAAAGCATCGACACAAATAAATATAAGCTAAATTACAGTCTATAGTGAAGATCATTTGACCAAAAGAACACGAAATTCCTATCTACTATAACTAGAGTGTGTAATGAATTGCTCGAGTTTTGATAATATTTATACGATCAGCAACAAATATCGTAAACCAACCTGCGTTTCTTTCACGGTGTATCGTTCAAGTAAAGTCTTCTTTTCTTCGGGGGTAAGCACTTGATGCTCGGGTACAAGAACATGCTCTTTTATGTTGATTAACATCTCTGCCTCCTGTAATTTCATAAAAAGAGTTCCAACTTAAGAAACGACAATATTTAAAGGACCAATTTATAATTAAAAAAAATCATCCACTCGAACTATAGTTTTATCTATTAAAATTATATATATTAGTTTCCGGAAAAGCAAGGAAAGAAGAGCCTTGAGACAATAACCTGGAAAACTTCCAAGTGAAATTTAGTGGATATTTCACTAATGCATGTTCGAGCAAACGGGGTTAAATTCTGCTGGACAATTAAAACTGCACGATGAACACCCTCTTCTTTCATGCGATTCGTATAAGTCTTCATTGTCTTAACACCAACCTTCGGTTCCTCGGGGAAGAAAATATATATCTGTTGATAAGCAAAACAAAACAAACAACTAGTGAATAAGTTGCATCGGAAAAAATATGCTCCCTTAAAGTTCCATCTTATTCGACATTTTCCAACAAATTAGATAAGTCAACGTCTGCTTGTGTTCTTCGTATATTATCCTTCATACAAAATCCTTTCCAAGCGAAATACAAGGAAATAACTTTAAAACATAGGCCAATAACATTGATTACGACACTAGATTCCGTCACGATTCTAACTTCATCGTAATTCAGAGGATAGATTTTTCAGCCTTAAAACTTTCCAACGTTTCTTAGGTACAGAAGGCCAATATAAAATGATATATGCTTGTGAAATCATGATTCACAAACCATTGCCGTTGATACAAAAAGATAATATATATTGTTGAATAAGAAATTCACAAATCAATGCACGCTCTTATCAATCACATTCTGCAGCTACAAATTGCAAAACGAAGTCCCGGAACCACTACTTTAGCAGTAAAAATTATTAAAAACGAAAGAGATTTTGATTTTGCAAACCTGGTCGGAGCTGTTGTTGCGCAAGCCTTTATTAATAACAAGATCTTCTCTCTTCATATTCTCACCGTATTTCTGAAGGAATTGATACTTTGTCATATCAATCTCGAAATCACCGACCATGTATCCTCTATCCTTGAGCATCTGCATCACATTCTTCCTAACTCTGACAAGCCGCGTTATTTCCTCGTCCGACAAAACCATCTTTGCACTGCCCTATCACACACTATTAATGAGAAAACAACGCAAGTAGATATTGCTTAAAGATTTCCTACTTCTAGTTATCATCTCGGACCATTTTCTACATATTATTCGATTTTAAGTAATGCCAGCATTATATTAAATGGGAACAGAGTGGTCGCTAAGCTAATTTTCGGAATTGTTATACAATTGTTTCGATTAACTACGGAAAGGCTTCACAAATAGATACAGACATGAACTAATCAAGAAAATAAGTGTAAATGATTTTGTCATTCAAACTTAAGCAAGAAACACGGAAAACAATGACGAAAACGACAACAAGAAAGATTGCAAGAAGAATGAGAATAATAATTAATCTCATGAGATTATAAATAGAAGACCATCCCATTACAGTTTTGTTCATTACAACAATAAATTCTAACACAACTGAAACCAAAAATTTCATAAAAACACACCACCCCTATAGAAACAATTCATTAAAAGTATAAAATTCAATAACTGAAATTCACAGCGCTTTCATCTAATGAAGTAAACCATTTCATTTTCCTCTTATTTTCCGCAGAAACTCAATTTTGAAAACACAGAAAAAACATGTGCTGAAATCAATCTAAGCGCGAAAAAATTGCAGCAGGGTTCTGAAAAAAACTTGCAGCTCCAGAAATTAATTTTCAGATACAAACTAGAAATCGAAACAGCGGCTGGATTCAACTAAAAAGGAAGAACGCAAAATAGGTTTGAATTGGGAGAAGAGAAAGAGAACGGAGACGAATCCATACCTAACTCGGCCTAACTCGGGGGAGAGGTGAGTCGTCGAATTGAGAACCCAAGATTTGGGAATTTACAATTGAAGTTGCAAACAGCGGCTTCTATTACTATAACTAATCTTATTCGGCCGCTTATTTAGTCTAAATCGACTGATTTGGGCCATTGTGTTATTACATGAACTAAAGCCCAAACTCACCAATTTCAAGAGAGGCAAATAAAAAAATAAAAAATAAAAAAAGTAAAAAAAGAGAATCAATAAGAATTTTTTTTAAAGGGAATTTATAAGAAAATCAATAAATATGGATAGACTAATAGCAGAAAATATATAAATTAATAAAATATTCTTAGTTATTTTTGAACTAACTACAGTTAAATCTCTATATATTAATATAGGCGGATCAACTAAATTCTATTAATTTATCGACATATATTTGTTAAGACCTTTGTCTTCAAATTGGGACTTGGGACTGTGAAAATATATTATGTAAACGAGGTTATTAATTTATGGAGGTTCTACCGTAATTAAGAATGGTAAAGGTTAAAATTGAAAGAAGAAAAAATCAACTAATGCTTCAGAAGCATTGAATTTCTAACGTAACAAATAATTTCGGGATAGAAAAAACTCTTGAAAAAAAAATATTGGGGAACATATAGTTGATGAATTTTAAAGTCCCATTTTCCTAGTTTATAAGACTAGGGTTTAAAGTTTAAGAGAAGACTAACTAATTAGACATTGTATTATTTTTCATCTAATATGATTGTTGATATATAATTTACTTTTAATTTGTTGATTCGATAATTAAGTTTGAATTTTAATTGAAAATGGTTTTTATGTAATTTTATTTAACTTATGTATCGTACATTCTTTTTATTGGGTTCGTATTAATCCAATGTAACACATTTTTATTGGTTAATGGTCCGAGATGTACAAACCTTTTGATCCTAGACGAACCCTTATGAATTTTATAGCTTTACTAACAACAAAAGAATTTTACAATTTATACATACTGAATGGGAAATGTGTTATTTAGATTTTCTACATATTTTTTACATTTTCATTTTATCCAAGGGACTTTAGTTTCAAGAGTAGATAAATTTGGCAAATAAGAACTTTTTCGTAATTTACCCTTACGTCGACATTGTTGTAGTTTACCCTTGTTATAGTTTCAAACACACACACACGGAGAAATGGTTTGCCTCAAGTGAAAATTGTTCACATAAGTAAAGTTCTTCACATAAGAACAGTGATGAGGCAAAAACTATGTAGCGCAACGGACACACGAAAACTCTTTTTTTTTTTAAAAGATGAATACTGGACTGTGGAAAAAATGTGTTAAATATTAAAAATGTAGGGATACATTCATAACTTTTAAAATATATTATAATGTTTAACTTATATATTTATCGTCAATTACATATTTGTATTTACAAATTATATATAATTTACGAGTTTCAATCCGAATTATCATTCCATAAATTATATTCGGTGCATATAAGTTTATTTTAGTATGGAATTAGCATCTACCACTAGAAGTGAAACAACACTTCATCTCTCATACGCAATTACGAGTTTTTATTTAAAATGAGTTTTTGATTTTTTTGGTGGAAAAGCGCTTCCATTTTTTTTATTATTACCAGAAACATCCCCAAATCTTTTAAATATTTACGGGAACAGCCCCAAAATGTTTCCAAGGGGTGTCACGAAGTTTCGGTTTCCGAAACGTGAAAACGCGTGTGGGTAGAAGTTTCCGTGCATCATTGGGCAAAGCAGAATAAAGAGAATCCAATCCTACCCCCACCAATAATTCTGATATTTCATCCAATCAGAACAAGAACTTGCATATATGACACAATTTTTTACAAAGAAAAATGCATCTACAGAAGTTACAACCTACCTATAATTAGTTTTACTCTATCAGAATCTTTACCTGTAACCCAAACAACTCTTTAGAATACAAATTCAGATAATTTAGTAAAATAATACAAAAAATAGCATCAAATCTGTACGAACCGAACCATCTTTGTGAGTTTGAAATAGAACTTGCTAAGAATTAGAAAATCGAGCCGCATTCACATTTACCGCAATCTGAGGAGAACCCGTTTGCTCAACTCCTATATAATCTTTTTATGCTTGAGCATCTTCGGTTCCACTAAAAATGCCGTAAATATCACTGCAAATGGCGACAGTGCTTGAAGACACGGCCAAAAGTAACATAATCCACGATACTATTCTGTCATTTTTTGTTCCGATTCCGCGAGTATCCCTGCATTTTACAAAAAAAATGGAAACATCAATATATTGCTTAATATAACTACGGTTCGTTTACTTTGTGATTTTAAGTTCAACACACTATTTCATCCAATCTAATATTACATTTACTTCCTATGATCGAACATCTTTTTGTCAAACTTCATCTATCATATGCATAGTAAAACAACACATTACATTATATTAAACTATACTTGTATTTCTTAAACCGACTCAAAAGTCAATACGTATAAATAACAAAGTCGACTGACTACCTGAGGGCAATTGCAGCGGGGAAAATGAAACCGACAGAGACAGTTGCAGTGGCGCCAGTAAATTGGAAAGCATCCCAAATACTCGGCACAAAATTTGCCCCCAAGAAAATAAAACCCATGAGAGATGATGTCACCCAAAAGAATCTCCGTTCGTCGTACACGATAGGAACGGAATACGGGAAAAGTATACCGTCCACATTGAGTCGGAGCGAGTAGAATACGATTGGAAATACGAGCATCAAATGGAGGGCGTAGCTCACTCTCACAATGTCGTTGAGCAAAGAGCTGTACGGGATTCCGAGATCTCCGTCGAAATTGGCAAGGACGTCGTCCATTGTTTTATTACCGAACAGGAGAAAACCGAAGAAGCTCGTTGCTATGTATACGGATGTGCATAGAGTGATTGATGTTCGGACTATTGACTTCATTTTGGATGGATCTTCTAGCTCGTTTTCGATTGGGTGAACTGTCATACGAGTTAAACAAAGATAGAAAAGAAATGAGATACCGAATAAGTGTGACAATTCATCATACATAAGAATCTAATAAGCTAATTCTTAGGATCAATTAATCAGATGAATCTACATAGAACAGGATAATAGTCTTAGGCCTTGTTTGGTTGATAAGATAAGATTAGCCAAAATGAGATCAAATTATGAAAATCCAATTGTATTATTGCATTATGGGAGGTCCAATAAGTAACCACCCTAAAAGAAAAGATAGGACATGATAAAATAATATTTCCGGGTCGACCTGGAAAATTATTGGGTTTACCAAACATCAAACAAAGTCCAATTATTTGACTAATCACGGCTAATTCCCCAACCAAACGAGGCCTTAGAAGATCCTGATGGCATATATGAAGTCTTTAAGAAAGTACGAAGATGGAAATATGCAAAAGTATCATGATTATGTGGTTTTCAATTGCAAAGAATTTCAAACGAGTTGAGAAAATGCACCTCTTACGAACAAATTTCTATCAGGCAATATATACAGAGAGTGTTGCTATTTCCATCTGTATAAACTTTTTTTTCATCATTTTTCTTATTTCACGACCATCTGATAACTTAAATTATCAACTTAGGCCTCGTTTGGTTGCCAAGATAAGATTAGTCAAGATAAGATTAAATAATCTAATGAAGCCCAATTGTCTTATTGGACCTTGGAAGGTCCAATAAAAAACATGCCTAGAAGGCAAGATAAGCCATGATAACATGATATTTGCGGGTCGACCCAACAAGTTATTGGGGATGCCAAACATCAAACAAAGTCCAATTAGTTAATTAATAATGGCTAATCTCCCTAACCAAACGAGGCTGTACCACATTCAAGTTCCTATTATACCATCTAAATCAATCATAACATCACATCTTTCAATTTAAAAAAGCTCTCAAATCACACGATAAACGCACCAGGCGCCCAACTCTATTCCATTTTTTGTAGTATTCAATTGTTTGAAAATAGATAAGTTCAGATAATGCAAAGTTTGATCATTGCAGTCCGAAAATCGGAATTAAAATCGTTTGATTTTTCAGTCTGAAAATCGGAATTACTGCCGGATGGTTAAGGGGTTAATATGACATTTAATATAAGGTATGAGCATTCTTTTGAGGGACAATATATATTGAGGAGTCGAAGAAAAACTTACTATTGTGGTGACAAATATAGGCGGTGACGAGTATAGGAACAGTAGTGAAAAGTTTCCAGAAAGAAGCTTGATCGACAAGATTCGGCATCAATTGAGGCATTCCTATGCTTCCACTTATCATCTTCACAATAGCTATTCCTCCTATTATCACCACAAACACTACCGCCAATACCACAGACAAAGCCGACGTGTACCGCAATGAATCTTAAACCAAAAACAATTAAATGATTAACTTACGTTGTAACTAAAAGCACGCATCGAACAAGAGAGGTCGTTTTATATCTCTGGAAGAATCAACCGATAAAAACACAGATTCAAGAATCAAGTGAAATAGCATACAGTTTTCTCCAAGATAACAGCTAAATGGCAGGTTCTCTATAGCTTATCAACCCTAGTTATAGACGAATCTAATCTCGCGAAACATCATTATAAAGAAACTAAGACAGTCACTTTTTGGAATAGATGGGATTTGTTTTAAACACACAAACGGCATACCCGCACATAAAACGAAGAGAGGATGGAATTATATTTGTTGAATTACTTTGCGTAATCTTCTTAGGCCCCGTTTGGTTGCCAAGATAAGACAAGATTAACTAAATAGTTGGACTTAATTTGATGTTTGGTATCCCCAATAAATTGCTGGGTCGACCCGCCAAAATTATGTAATCATGACTTATCTTGCCTTCTAGTGTGTTTTTTTGTTGGACATCGCAAGCTCCAATAAAATAATTGGGTTTCATTAGACTATTTAATCTTATCTTGGCTAATCTTATCTTGCCAACCAAACGGGGCCTTAGTTCTGAAAATTCATCAACACGCAAACTTCAAAATTTAACCTATAAGACTGAAACGAATCATAATCTTTGCTCTGCCCTTCTCCCCAAACATTACTTTCATGCTGACATCATTGCAATAGTGTTACACTATCGGGTAATCTTTTTTTTGATGGTATGGACAATCAAATGACACAAAAAATTTCATTAGAGATGGTTTATTCGAATCATAGTCTACACACACGCACACATACACATATATACATATATACATATATATACGGGAAACTTAGAGATTGGGGTTCTGAATTAAAAAAAAAAAAAATCAGTGCCGGTTTCTCACCGACTCGCTTGAAGGAAATGAGTGGGGCGAATACGAAGATGGTAGTGAGGAGCAATATTGAAGAGCGCGTAGTCCACCAATGAAGACCGAACCATTCTTCCACTACACCCGTGTGGTGCACCCCTTGTGACCATGTCTCTGATAGCACATCACCTGCAAATTCCAATACATACATACATACATTATATTCTATATATATACCATCAAAATTCATCACATCTGGCTTTGCTTTACAAGAATTTAATGTCCAATTTTACATCCCCAATTGAATCGTCGGAAATGCTGAAATGAATTGAATTGAAAATTTATTGCCCTAAAAATTCATCTACCATAATCAAGCGGCAAAATTACCCATTACCCAGATGACCCACAGAAGGGATCTTGTACGAATGCATAATTAAATTATCAATAAACACGAATAATTGACGAATTTTACCAATAATAATCATGTAAACCACAAGCATCCCGACGTTATTTATCACGATGCATATCTGCAGAAGATTCCGGCCGGCTCCGGAGAACGCATCGCCGGCCAGACCGGAGTAGGAGCTGGTCTTTGCAGCCCTGCTGAACCGGAGGATCATCTCTATTGATTTCTCCGTCAGCATTCCGGCCAGCAAGATCGTGATAAGCCCGGGAATCACGCCGAGTTGTTTGAGCGTGGCGGGGAGGGCCATGATTCCGGCACCGACGATGGTGGTGGAGAGGTTGAACACCGCGCCGGCGAACGATGCGCTGCCGAACTCGCCGCCGCCGTGGTCCTTGGGGAGCAGCGGGGCCGCCTTCTGGCTCCGCCTGTGTTTGCGGTCCGAGAAGGGCATTTTCGTAATTTTCGTATAGAGGGGGAGTGAGATTGGATTTTCCTAGAGAGAGAGGAGAACAAATTTGGCGTTTACCCGACAATTTTATTACACCGTGGCAGCCGATTTTACGCGGGAACTAAAGTAATGCTGCGATGTCTCATCCAATCACATGGGGGCCACGTAGGAAATGCGTGTCCACTGTATACTGTGTGTACAAACGAAATTATGACTGCTACAATTTGATTCAAGGATTTTACTCCCAACGATATTTCAAGAATAAATATAGTAGTCACTATGTAACACAGTCGAGGCATCTCTGGTTTCTTGGAACCCGTTGGATTGATGAATTTATCCGATCGAAGCTCAGATTAGGATTATTGGACCGAACTCATTGGATTGATGAATTTATCCGACCGGAGCTCAGCTCACGATTATTGAACCGAAATCCCAGATTGATTCCCGGGCCCGGTCTACTGTCCTTGAAATGAACGATATTTCATCCGCACATTTGAAGTCCGATTTCACAATCTGTTTTTTTTTCCGAATTCATGTTCCATCTGAATTGACTAACTACCCTCTACAATTTCAAACAACTATACATAAACCTGGTATAAATATCGTTTTCACTCCCCCAATTTCTTCTTCGTGCCCTAGATTTCCTGAATAGAGGCATCTATACAAATATTCCCTTTTGCGTTTTTATTCTTCTATTTCGTCTTCTTCGATTTGGAAACTAACAACTGCATAATTTTGTGTTTGTATATTGTTGAAGATTCCAGTGGTAGCTCTGGAGCATTGCATCCGTCGACAGACATCTTGAAGGCTAAATTTTGAAGGTTTGGGTAGATTGTCGTCAATCAATTATTTCTTCAAACTCACCTTGCTTCGTTTGCTGAATACTTGCAATTTTTTGAAACACAAGTGGTAGAAGAATCCTAGTTACAGACACTTCGAGTGTTTGCTATTTTTCCAGATTTGGTCACGAATTTTTTCTCCCCACTTATTTTTTTTTCTTCGTTTTGGTTCTTGTGTTTAGGGTGTTGTTCCTATTTGTCAAACAAGGGCACCAAATTTTCAGTATCCCTTATTTGGTTTTGGTCTCTACATTTTCAAGGTTAGTGTTTTCCTGCCCTGTTATTTGTTTTTTTTTAAATATGTTTTCTAATGCTTTGTGTTGTGTTTGTTTATGTGGACCCAATGATATTAATAGTTCACTTAGTTGTGAAACTATGCAAAAAATGTAAAAAATATTACATAACTGATCATATATATTTTTTGAGAATAAACACTGATTTGGAAAACATAAACGAGTGGTTCCAATTGTTGTGATGCTTCTTGTGATGCTTGTATATTTTTATTTCAAATTTTGTACTTCAATACAATTTTATGGTTTGTCAACAGTTCAGTTTGACTACATGAATGCCAATACGGAAGAAGAGGTTGTTGTAGTCGTGGGTTTTCAATTAGTTGAGCAAATTAGAATACTTATGGTCATGTTTACACAACTTGTGCGATTGATTAGATGTCGACAACTTAGGAATCGTAATGTTAGTTATCGTTGCTATAGTTTTGAAAAGTAAAATACCAGTTCAAATATAACATCTATCTTACCTTGTTGGTTAGAGTGATACTGTTTGCCGGCAAAATCTACGGATGAACCGACACATTTTATCGGTTGTGTTTTCTTCTTAAGAATGTTGGTGGTCTAGTTGCAACTAGAAATGTCTCCGTGGTTGAGCACGTTTCTTTGTTTTGACATGTTCTATCACACCACGAAAAAAATGTCATAATTTCAAATTATAGGAGGTTCGGTTACATAATTAGTATTCGTTTCTCTCGGATTTTGCACGCTCTATTAAAACTGCACAACGTTATGCTTGTTACACCTAAACCCGTTGACTCAAATTGCGATCACAGACGTTGGAAATATTTTGAAGTAAAAAATTGAGAACGTAATAAATAAAAGTTTAACCAATCTTTAATAAATATTATCATTGTCTTAATTTTTTTTTATTTGACAACGTCATAGGGTTGTTTAGGTGCATTAGATGGGTCATATACTCCTGAACGTGCAACACTAGTCGATAAGCCACATTATAGGAATCAAAAGGGTATGGTTTCGATTAACGTTAATTTTGGCGGTGTGTGATGTGAACTTGAATTTTGTTTACTTATTGAGTGGTTGGGAGAGATCCGCCGCCGATAGTAGAATCTTACAGGACGCAGTCACTAAACCCAACGATTTTCGTGTTCCAAATGGTACGAATTAACATTTCATAACATAATACGTTAATTCATAACAAAAAGAATTGCCACTACTTTAATGCAATTAATATTTACCTTTTCCAGGGCACTATTATTTGGTTGTTGATGGATACGCAAACGGGCCTGACTTTCTAGCACTATAGGAATACTAGATATCATCTCCATGATTTTGGCGTAGGTAGAAATGTGGTGCAAAACCACGAAGACTACTGTAATATAGAACATGCTAAAGCTCGTAATGCAATCGAGCGAGCATTTGGCATATTAAAATCTAGATGGGGAATACTAAGAAGCCCGTCGTACTATCCGATTAAAATTCAAAGTCGTATAATAATGGCTTGTCGACTTATACATAACTTCATTTGTACGACGAACGATCATGACCTCGATGAAGACAAAGTTCCCAAAGAAGTAATTACGCCGGTCGATCGCAAGCATTACGGTTTCATTGAAACTGTTGAGACATCAACATAATGCTCCTCTTGGAGAGATAGCCTAGCAATTAATATGTATAATGCGTGGTTGAGTAGGAGTCAAGCTTGATGTTTATTTATTTGAATTTTATAAGTGTGATTTCGAATATACTTTTTGTATTCCCTTTTGTTGAAACATTCCTTTTAATTTGTGTCTATAAAGCATTGGTATTTTGTCAATTTCAATATGGGTATGTATTGCTTTCTACTGTACTGGATACTTTAGTATTATGAATTGTGTGATGAATTTGCATGTTGATTTTATACTTACGTTTTCACTATATTGTATTGTGTGATGAATAAATGTACATGTTTTGAGTTGGCCGTTTTTGCTACGAGTTAGTAAAAAAAAACTATGTCGACTTCAATGTCTCACAAGTCCAATGGAAAACGTAAGACCTGGTCGATCATTACTCAGCGTAGTAGGCCAGTTACCGAGGAACATGCTTTAGTAGCAACCCTGAAAGAAATTGTTTCTTGGGGTTGGAAGTGTGACAATGGGTTCAAAACGGGTTATTTGGATGTACTTCAACAATATATGATGCACCACTTTCCAAACACTGATCTTAGAGCCACACCGCATATTATCTCCAAAATTCACGTGTGGAATAAGCATTATGGTTCATTGTCTACTATGTTAACACGTTCCGATTTTGGGTGGAACGAGAGGCCAACACAATCGATGTGGAACATGAATTGTGGGATGAATACATCAAGGTGAACAATTATCTTAACTCAAGTGATACTTTTAATCATACATATACTTATACATAAATTTAATTTTCAAATTACCAATATATTTCATCAATTGAACAAACTGATCCTAGTGCATGCGTTATGAGTTACAAATCATGGTTGCTATACAATGATTGGTCGGCAATATTTGAAAAAGATCGGGCTACCGGTGAGAACGCCGAGACACTACTTCAGGCTATCAACTATATATCAACCCAAGAGATCGGTGGAGGTGATGCTTCGAGGGGAGCTGAGCATTTTCCTTTATCGCTACAAATGACGAAGAAACGGAGTCCATGTCACATCAATGCAAGATGGTTTCACATCAACCTTCAATCCAGGGGGGGGGGGGGGGGGGGGGGGGGGGGGAACGTACAAGCACAAAATCATTTGCTGAGACGAAGACTTTTCTTGGTGAGTTGGCCCAAAGAATTTGATTCGAACATGACACATCTATCACCCGCAAAAAGATCTTGGAGGCAGTTTCACCAGTGACCAATTTAACCGTTGAGGATAAAATCAATGTGGCTAAAGCCGTATGCAACAACCAGAAGGAGTTGGATATTTTCTTCGGGCTTCAAGATGCAGAGAAAATCGTAATGGTTCATATGATTCTCGAAAATCGTTATTAGTACCACGTTCTTGACGGACATAAACGAGATTTTCAAATGACTCAACTTTTTATGTCTGTCAAAAGAAGGCACTAATAGTTTATAACATTTTGAACTTTGGACTTATTAATTCGTAAGCATAAACTTTATTTCATAATATTTTGTTGTAACATTTGTTTCCAAACATTCCAAAATTAGGAAATAATGTTACATTGTCTACAACAATTAGTAATACATCTTCATTATGCCCATGATTTTGACATTTGGGTCCATACATCATCATCAGTTCTTCCAACTTCGGTTCGCCATACAGACGATAAGCCACCGCAAACTCATTCGCCATCAAGAAACAATATTAATTTAAATAATATTGTCTAATTAAATTTGAAAATTATTGAAGTTACCTTGATTATGTAGTTGCACACTTGGGGTTCTGCATACACAATATTTACTTCAAGACAATAGTCAATACCCGGCACGGTGAGTAGCCACTTGAAGGTATTGTAACGCGTCTCAATTTTTTCTAACTTTTGCGAGCACATGTGATAGCTGAACTCCAAACTAAATTCCTTCCTAATTGAGTTCCTGGCAATGAGAAGCGTAGAAAAGTTGGACTTGTCGAACACAAAATTACCAAATGTTGCTTGCTTTGCAAGATTGTCGATGAAACAATTTTTAACTCCTTCGTTCTAATCAAGCTCGTAAAAACAATCTAGTTGGGTAGGTATACTCGTTTCTACCTCTACCATTCTGATTGTAATATATTCTTCTCTTTTTATTGTTTTATTTTTATCCTGAGTTATCAAAACTAAGATATGCAGTGGTGCAATATTTATAGAAGGTCACAAAACTCTAATAATTTTGTTGAATTATCGGAGCATGATATATAAACTAAAGAGAAAATATAATTATTGACATTTGTAAGGAATATATTCTATGCAGAAGAATATTCAGACTTTATTTGCACATTGTATGTTAAAATCAAATGTCACATAATTAATAAGAAAAGAACATATATAATATCTAATAATTTAAAAGTTGTATAAAAGCTGCAAGCAGAAGACAAAATGAATGAACCACATACATTTGTAATGTTGATAAAAGAAAAAAACAATAATAATACAAAGTCTGAAAAT